TTAAGATTTCCGATAATTCCTCAAACTGAACTATTGGCTATTGCCAAAGATCCCTCCTGTTTAAAGCCGAAAATCTTACAAAAACACAACTTTTAGCAATTGCTGAAAGTCAAGTGCGAAATTCATGCTACCCAGAATGTTTAAAAAATTCTAGTATAGCTAGTTATTGTCAAACAAAAAATACAGTTTTGTTCAATTTTTAATGCTCTTTCTAATGGTATACTTGAAAGTCCAACATTATGAGAAAAATTTATATTAATTAACTAATTGATTTTTAATATTAAATTATCAAAACCAATAACTAAGAAAATTTTTCCGTATTAAAATGTAGCCCGTTCAATTCTGCATCTAATGCTGTATGTATTGTGTTTTGTTTCTGTTTTCAATAAAGATAAAATCAATAAAATATTAATAGTGTCTGAAACTTGCCTTCTGAGAAAAAACTTCAGTTGCTCTTGTTTCTTCACTGATAAATCAATTAGATTAAGAATCGATGTTTTGTAAATACCTTACCACTGACTGCATATAACACTCAAAAGATGCTTCTTACCCTCTTTCTTTTCACAAAAGAACACAAAAATAGAAAGGGTTCTAAACTTTGGCCGCTCACTTTTTATATCGTCGATGCAACTACGCGATTTCTTTTAGCTCATGTTTGTTTACGTGTATCATGAAGCGTGACATAGTCATAAAATAGGAAGTGAGTTAAGTAAGAATGTAGTCATTATTATGCGTATTATCTTCTTTCATTATTTTGTTTATTTCTATTTGTCTTTTTTTCTTTCTGACGTGTTTCGTGTCATGACAATGAGATAATGTTTACAAATATTGTCAAATACGAGTGTATTACACTCCGATTTTGAAAATTTTATTTGCGTATGAAAAAAAGAAGTCAACCATCCCCCTTTATTTATCATGTGAGAAAAGCTGGTAGTCAATTGGATTTTTTTAGTGCAATGAATCCCTCGCCGATTTCTTCTACTCATAAACGACAGTGTACAGTGCATGTTTCTAATAAGAACAGCTTTTCAAATGCCTTGAGTTTTCTTTTTTTTTTCTAAAAAGTTTATATAGGAACATATGGATTTTTTATATTTTTGAGTAGAGAAATATTTTCTGGATCGAATGATATAACAAAAAATTAATTATCTCGAAAACTACCTGAGTAATTAGCAGTAGTTTGAGAGCAATTGAATTTGTTCTTATTAGGAGCTCTGTTCCTTATAAGAATAGAGAGAAAACTCGCCTGTTCTTATTTGGTACATTGTTCTTAATTCGAACAGCCAGCAAAAAATAGTTCCTAATAAGAACATTCTATGTAAAATCAATAGAAAAATAAATATTTTTAGTAAATGAACTTTTTTTTATATCTCAACTTGAAAATTTCGATACGGTTCTTTGACAAAAATGATTCTTGATATATTGTGAATTAATTTCCAGCGGTTCGAGATAAACAAATCTTTTCTTTCATATCTGTAATATGAATAACAAAAAACGTGAAATAATCGTTGCATTATAACTATCGTTATTAAATCATAATCCAAAATTTATAAAAAATATATGATATTCCATTGAATCTATAGTGAGTTTTTTTTAGAATTTCGGTTCTTCGATCATAAAAATTACACCCTGAAAAGTTCAATCAAGTATCTCAAAGAATCACTATCAAATAACGAGAACAAATTCACTTTAGTATAATTTTAAATGATTTATTTTAAGTTTAGTATATGTATGGGAATTTTCGATCTTAAACGATCGTTTTCAACCTTTACCGAAAACGAGGGTGAGTGTGGATGCTTCTAAAGAAAAGACGAGCGCTACATCAAAAACAAAATTAATGCAGAACTTTTGCACCACTCATTTATTGATTGAATGGAACGTACTCATCAAAAAATACAAAAAGCAGATCTGTATCAACAGATTGATGTCGTAAAATGAACCTTTGTTACTAGAAACATCTATTAAAATTGTTTGAAGAAAATAATGATTAATAAATCTAAAATAGGCACGAACGAAAACTAAAAAATATTGTTTTTAAAGCATTTAAATTTGTGTTCACAATCATTCATGTTTACAATGTGGTACTTCTATTCATACTCTTATCCACATTCTCATAAGTATTTTGTAGAATATGTCTTTTTTGGAAGTTATTGATATTAAATTGAATGTTGAAGAGGAAATAATTCTTTTAATTGCATCATACATACATGTTCAGATGGTTGATATTGACCGACAACTTTAAATTGAGCGGCTGGTAATGATAAAATTTCATTTTCGTCAAAATACATTGAACGGAGTCGGATATCTTTCGCACTTTTACATTCAATAGCAAATAAAGTAGGCATATCTGTTTTGCCCAGAATTTTTTCTTCATCTAGTACATTAATTGTCGAAGTACATGATGAAAAATCCCATCATACTATTGTCTTACCTGGACGATAAATATCACTCAAATTAAATTTATCTCCACGATAAAAAGTACGACCTTCTATGGATGGTAGTTTAGCGAGACTCTTCAATATCAGTTTCAGATGAAGAAACCATAGTTTTAATAAGTCTCGTTTTTCTTCACGAAGAGTAGAATTAAGAATACAGTAAAGACTTTCTTCTCTTTTAATCCATTGCATTGTATGCAATATGATAGAAGCTGATTCATCAGCTGTCAATCCATTTGCAGAATTTTATAAAACAAACAAGCGACTTTTCTTCATAACCCCTGATAGAAAGCAACATCTTGGCAGATTCTTGAACTATGTTAAAAATACGATGAAAACTTGTGGATTGATTGCCAATAACAGCCACTTTACTTGTAGCCGATGCAGTGGCTTGTAAAATAGAAAAGAACGTATTGAGGGAAATAAAAGAAAGAGAAAAAGAACTCTAGAGAAGTTCTTCTTCGTAAAAGTTTCCTTCAACAGAATTTCCAAACAAAGAAAAATCTACAACATTAACGTCGAATATGTGATTGTGTGCAGTTTTTTCTAAACTGGGCTCTAAAAGCATAGTTGACGAAGGATTTGTGATTTCGAATTCTCAAAATTATCTTTACATCGTAACTATTAATAATCAAATTTTCTATTTAGAATATACGAACAAAATTAGGAAAGAACGATTAGAATATGAATAAGAATAGTTTCATCTACATATTTTTTCCATAGTATTTATAGTTCTTAGCATATGCTAAGTAATACAGTAGTTTTTAGAATTTGACAATTTGATATAAAAAAAAAACTGTTCTATTTTACCAAATCGATTACTTCATAAGTAAATTTTAAAAAAAAACTTGTCTCCTTCCAAACTTTCTATGATACATTTTCTTCTTTTCAAACAGAAATATAATAAATATTTATTTAACTCCATTTTGTTTAAATTCAACACAATGGCAAACCTTTATCTTTACTAAAATTGAATAAAACTCAACTGCATATATATCAAATACTTCTAGAGAATATACAGTAAACTTTTTATTAGTTACCAAGACCAGTATCAAACTATTTTGAACTTCGCAAAAAAAAGAGCAATGGTTCCCTAATATTCCTTTCATAGGAAATATTGCGAACCAGATTTATCTGACTCATTTGATCTCGTGACAAATGCTCTAGCGTGTTTTTATGTTGAATACTGTAGTGTGCTAAGGTTCGACAATTTTCAAATTGCTTGTTGACAGAAAGCCATTTCAGTTGATCAAGCGGAATATTCTTCTTTATCATGAACTTTCGCTTTTACATTTTCGATGATATCAGCCGTTCGTACTACCAACGCAATAGTTTTCCGGTCCGTTTTTTGACATAAATTTCCATTAGTCCATGAATTCGAACAATGAGACTCAATGTGCTTTCCTTTCCAATATTGTAGTCTTCTAAAGTTCGACTATCTTCAATTTCTTTGCCAGCGAAAACCAATTGCTGTTGCTCATCTGGAATCCCTTCTGCGTCTTTAATCTTCGCTTTTATGTTCCTGATTGTATCAGTCGATGCCACTTCTAATGTAATAGTTTTGTCAGTCTGTATTTTGACAAAGATTGAGAAGGCTTTATCAAATTGAATCATGAGGTACAATGCAGTCTCTGGTAGAATATTGTAATCTGATAAGGTTCGACCATCTTCAAGTTCTTTTCCAGCAAACGTCAATTGTTGTTGATCAGACGGAATAGCTTCTGCAGCTGGAATTTTTGATTTGAGATCTTTGATTGCATTAATGGGTTTGACTTGGAATATAATTTTTTTTCCAGTTGGTGTTATGACAAAGGTTTCCATGTGTTCATGTAATTGATAAATGAGATACAAGGTACTTTCCTTTCCAATATTGTAGTCTGATAAGGTTCGATCTTCTTCAAGTTGCTTACCGACAAAGATCAGTGTCTGTTGATTTGGTGGAATCCCTTCTGCAGACTGAATCTTCACTTTCACGTTTCTTATTGTATCACTTGATGTTGCTGACAGATAATATATTTATCAATATATTACCTGTCAGCATCTTCACATAAATAAAGCGTAAGTCATTGTTGACAGAACAATCATGTTCGAATGAATTAGCAGACACTACGTTGAAAGTCATACTCATTATCTTAAAAGAAATTGTTTTAAATTGAATTTAAAGATGTATGAAGATAGTTATAGTTTCGATCTACTGAAACGGTTGCACTAGAACCATGACAAAACAAGTTATCAGAGCTATGCTCCAAGATTCTAGTTGAATGTTATTTTACTTGTAGGCAACTAATATAATATATAATGGCAATAATAATAAAGCTCACGAGAGAAGTTGTAAAAATTCGGCATTGGTTGACTTGATAAATTTGAATAAGAAAAATTTAAGAACTCTAAGATTGTTGGCGACCACATCCTACAATCATTCTGGGATCTTTATATCCTGAGTTCGATACATATTTGAGAAAGCAGAACTGTGTTAAATCGAGATACTCATTAAATTTTTTTCAAAATTATGTTGCCTTACTCGTTGTTCGACTCAAAATGTAACAAGGATATATATTGAAAAGTCAAGAAGAATAGAGAATACTGATGGTAAAAACGAAAAGAACTCATGGACAGTCATAAATTTCGGATGATATGTGAAAAAATATGAAAACTGAATGTTTCTTCGTCTAAAATTTCGTAATCAAGAAATTCGTTCGAAGCAAATTATGATTGATAAATAAAAGTTTTGTTACTGGTCTAGTGTAACAACAACAGATAAAAGTACAAAATTTATATTAATAGAAAATTGTATATTTTATTACTCGATCTGATACTTAGTTCGTTCTAAGTTAGCCACACAGACTAAAGTAATTTTTACATTTTTCCATCAGATTAATTCCGTTTTTAAACGAATTTATATTTATATTTATGTATTGGTTCGAACATTTCTAGACATAAAATGTCTGCTCTTTTTTTTTTATTCAGATGAGTGAATAAACAGGCTTTTTCGACATCCAAAAGTCTCTTTGCAGAAATGCTTCAAATTTTAAGAGTAGGCCGACATATTTTAACAAATTGTGCTATTTAAGTAAACTGTAGATTTTACCCGACCGAAGTTATAGTCATTTTGTCAGTTGCTATTTTCTACATAAAACTGGTTTTGATAAAAAAAAAGTTAATTTAGCTCTAAGAGCTGATATACTGACAGAGATTTTAATTTTAGACTGCAGTCACCAATAGTGGAAACACAAAAATGCATAGAAAAAATTTTTCTCCAAATAATTTTTCCAGATTTCTCAAATATTTCATCACTATTATCGAAGAAAACAAAGCACAACATTTCTTAGTCCGTATTCCAAAAAGATCGCAAAATTTTGGTCTTAAGCCCTCAGTTTTTACTCACCTGAAATATGTTCAAATGAATCAAAAATGAACAGACATTTTTTTTTACAGACACTTTCGGTCGATCCCTTGTTTCTCACTCGAAACACGTCTGAAATAAAATTACTGCTGAAAATATCAGCAGAAAAAGATTTTAGCGAATTCTTTCAAGTTTATCTACACAATAATTAATCTATAATGATAATCTTAATTCGAACTCTGTTTAACTTACTTTGATAAAATTGCAATGATATCGCTACTTGAGTTTTTTTTTACTTAATATTCTATGGTTTGCTACTGTATAAAACAAAACAAAACAAAATGATTACACTCATACACATAGGCAATACAATGAAGAAAGAAAAACATTATAGGAAGTAGATTTAGTCGTGTTAGATAATACACTGTTGTTTGGATTCTAAATAAGAGTTTCAAGGTAGAAAAGTTCAAAAATCAGACAGATATATTGTGTGCATAAATATCTAATATGCTGGATTGGATTAATATCCTTTACAAGAAAAAAGAAAACATTCTTTTTATTTCTTTAGCATTGAACAAGATATTGTTATCATTCGTTTCGCTTCTTCACTAAGATGACTTGTCATTCTTACATTATCTTTCACTTGATTTTTTTTTGCTATTTAAAATAAAATGATGTGAATACAAAAAATACTACGAAACTTATCAAATTTGAGTTCACTAACAAAGAAAAATATTTCGTTGAAATAAATACTCTCTTTCGTGATGTATCAAGTTCTCTTTATTGCAGAAAGGTTTTTTTTTTAAATAGATTGAAATATCTATTAATCCTTAAAAGTCGAATGTTCCTACCGAGAAGCATTACGATAGATCATTTAACGATTTATTTCGTTGAGAAGTTAGTTTAAACACAGTCAATAGCCCATCAAAATATCTCTATTAATTTTTTATGTAAAGTATTAGTATGTCATTCGGAAGAAACATTGGACTTTTCAGGATTAATGTCTTATTATACAAAAACTGACCAATCATTACAAGAAGTCAACATTTTCATAGTAGAAACGTAGTTATAAATTAGAATTCAACTGCAAATTTATTTTTCATAATTTTTGTTGGTCACATGTGCATGTTCTACGTTTCAAATCAGTTAAAAGAATGTTGAAACTACTCCAATTGGTACTGGTTATTTGAGTTCATATTTGAACTCATAGACAGATCTTAGTGAAAATAGTAAAACCTTAAAAACATTCATCTCCATCGATCTTAAGCACTGAGGTATGGTTAGTTTATTGAATTTTTAAGCCATTTTTTCGATACTCTAAAGATCGAATAACAGAGTTTTTACCCAAAATTTTATCTATAGATAGATCTAATATTTCTTAAACATGTTATAAAAATCGAATTCACTTGAAAATTCAGTAACTAGACAAAGAAACTTTCAGAATATTCTATAAGTCATTAGACATATCTATAGGCACAATGAATACCAGTCACCGGCTCAATGATAGTAGCAATCAATTAATAAGCTTTCCAATACAATCCCAAATTTGATCAGTGACATAAGAGCTGCTTGCAGAATTACTGTGAAG